AGGGAAGGGAAGACAAGGATGTCGGTTGTTTGCCATGGCCTCCTCCTCCTTCTCCTCCTTCATCGAATGAGTGCCTGGTGGCTGGCCATCATGGCGCTCTCGTCGTCCCGCTTGTGGGCAGTGTGCAGCAGGATTCGAGTCTTCAGGGGGCTGTCGGGAGCGAGCTTCGCCTCCTCCTCTGCCTCCTGGCGGCGGAGGGGGCGGAAGGGCGTAGAGGAGGAAAGAGCTGTGGTGATGACGACCATGATGATGCCGATGACGACAGATCCGATGTTATGCTGGCGCTGATCGTGGGAATGGTGGGGGAGGAAGGGGAAGGGGGAGGAAGGGGTGGATGTGGAGAGGGGTGATGCTGCTGATGATGATGTGACGATGCGACACGAGGGGGAGCTGGATGCGTGGAGGAAGAGGGGGGGGATGATTAGAGGGGACCTGGAGAAAGGGGATGGAAAGAGCAGAAGAGGGGTCATGGACGTGAGTGTGGGCACCGGGGAGAACCCAAACTCTACTGCCATCCCCTTTTCTTCTCCCGCATTCTGTCTCCCTCCCTCCCCCCGTCATCTTCCATCCAGGTCCGCTCCACGCCTTCGTCCTCGTCCGCCAGACAAGGACGAAGGCGCGGAGCGGATCGGGAGTTCGCCCCATCCTGCTGCAAATCCTGATTCCCCCTCGTCTCTCTAAGCTGTCGGTTGATATTTCTCTCTTTCTCTCTGCCTCTCTCTCTTTCTCCACCCACTCGCTCTCATGTGTACTTGTGTACACACATCTCTAGATACAATTTTGGACATCCCCCAGGTAATGATATAAGCAATTCTTGTTTCTGGTGATTTTGTCGTGGCTTTTATTTTTTGTTGTTTTTGTTTTGTTGTTTTCATTTCTTTCGTTCTCTCTGTCGGTCTGTCTGCCTGCCTGCCTGCCTGCCTGCCTGCCTGCCTGCCTGTCTGTCTGTCTGTCTGTCTGTCTGTCTGTCTGTCTGTCTGTCTGTCTGTCTGTCTGTCTGTCTCTGTCTGTCGCGCGCCCTCGAGGCGTGGCTGGGGGGCGCCCCAGCAACGTGGGAGGCCTTGAGTGAGTCTGTCTGTCCGTCTGTCTGTCTCACTCTCTCTCTATCTCTTTCTGTATGCAAAGATGTGTGTATAGAAATCTTTCTCTCTCTCTCTCTCTGCTACCATTCCGCTTCGCTTTCTCCTTATCCATCTCATTATACATCGTCTTCCCCTTTTGTTTTCAGCTTCCCCCAAGCGAAGGGGAGGAACATACGGGAAGCATGAAAGAAGGGAAGGAGGAGGCGGAGGAGGAGGAGGAGAAGGAGGAGGAGGATGAAAAAGGGAGGAGAAGGAGAAGGAGTACGAGGAAGTGGAGGACAAAACAGCAGATCCCAACAAGCTTCTTGGCGTAGGTGGTCGAGCGGGCAATCTGCTCCCTCTTGCAGTCATCCCCTCATCCCTTTCGCGCAAGGGCTTGTCCCTCCCCCTCCTTCCCGAAAAACCCGAGGGGGGGGTCGCTGGCGCGCGCCGGGGCGTTCCCTGGGGCGTTGCCCGCGCCGGGATGGAGCGGTGCCCGGAGCGGTGCGAGGCGCCACCCCCACCGGCGGTCCTGGTACGAGGTGAGCGCGTAGAGGCAGCATGCCTCTGCGCCGCTGTGGGGGTCGCCGCTGCCGATCGCCGTCGTCGTCGGTCACCGTCACCGTCGCAGTCGCCGTAGCCGTCGTCGTCGGTCGCCGTCACCGTCGCCGTCACCGTCGCCGTCGCCGTCGCCGTCGTCGTCGGCGGCGGCGGCGGCGTCGTCGTCGCCTTCGTCATCGTCGTCATCGTCGTCGTCGTCTCGTCTTCTTTGTCGTCGTCCTCGTTGTCGCCGTCGTCGTCGTCGCCGTCGCCGTCGCCGGCGCTGTCGTCGTCCTCGTCGTCGTCGTCGTCGCCATTGTTTTGTCTGGTAGGGTTCCGCTCGCAAGTCTTCTCAAGACACAGAAGCTAATCTCGAGAAGCGCGGCACAGAGCGATACAAGCGCAATGGCGCGGGCTGAAAACTGGCTGGCTTCGATGAGGCAAGCGCGAGCAGGCCCTCGACACAATCAAATCTTCAAAAGATACAGCGTGGAAACGCACAAGTGTGGCGGAAGGGCAGGCCACGGGTGCACATGAGCGGAAGATAACGCGGCACCCCCAGACAACAACGTGCAAGCACTCCAATGTCTGGTAGGGTTCTGCTCGCATTTTTTCAAGACAGAGAACCTTGTCTCGAGAAACGCGGCACGGAACGACACAGGCGCAGTGGCGCGGGCTGAAAACTGGCTGGCTTCGAGGAGGCAAGCGCGAGCAGGCCCTCGACACAATCAAGACTGGAGTCCCAAATCACTCCCGAAACAAAGGATGTGTTCTCTGAGCCACCTTGGTCCACGGGATTCGTCTGCTCGGATGGGGCCCAGACAGTTCGATATGTGCCCTGCCTGAATACGAGCAGATCCCCCGCCCGCGGCAGAGGAGGCAAGTCAATTGTTGTATGTTATCGGTTGCAACGCTACCAACAAGAAAATGAGTCCGCTTGCGCCATCTTGTGCCGCAGCTGCAGAAATCCAGTGTCACCTCACAGACGTTCCGAGTCGCACGACGGCGGAGCGCAGGGACTTTCCACATCATGCTGCTATACGGTTTTCGAGAAACCATGGAATCTGCCGAATGTCCAAAATTCGGATGATCCGCAAGGTGACCCTGAGGAGCTCATTGCCACGCGCCAGAGCGCCGTGGCTTTTTTCACTAAAACTCGACCTGTCTGTCACTCCACAAGGCTTGTGATACATACTAATGAAATTAATTCGCATACGAGCAATCGAGATGCTAGTGCATTCGGTCGCCAGCGCCGCTCCCAAGGTCAACCCATTTTTGGCATCTTCTGATATGCGGCGTTGCACCTATGAGTCTGTAAGGTCATATCGCGAATCATATCTGGTGTTCGACAAACGAGCGGAATACCCCTGATGAGAAGTTGCCTGGCCAACGCCACCATCGCCGCAGAAGAAATCGGCGAAGTAAGGGCGATGGCTCACACTGTCCGCAACGGCGCGGCGGCCGCGCGGCCGAAGAAGAGCGCCTCTAACTGCTCGTCCGCTCTCTTGAACTCCGCTGCCTGCCGGGGCTGCAGGCGGGCCGCCGACGTATTCAGTCGGGCGGCGTTGTCGTATCGCTTGAGGGAGCTCTCGCATTGCCACCCGCCCCTCTTCTTCAACTCGAGGTGGTCGCGGTGGCGGCTCCGGAGGTCGAGCGAGGCCCCCGAGTGACGGCGCTGGTGCAGCACTAGATTTCCCAGCTGCAGTCTTTCGCGAATCTGGTTGAACTCGGTCACGAGCTCGTGGTAGCTGTGCGGGGAGATCCGAGACTCTGGAGGGCCGCGTGCCAAGGCTGCGTTCGCCCTCGGCAGCCGTGGGTATATCTTGTTCGGCAAGCTGATGCCCTCGTCCTGGGTCTGGTCCTTCCTGGTGGCTGCTCTCTTCGCAGGGAAGAGGTGAACTGCCCAGTCGCTCGAGCCACCGTCCACTGGGGGGGATCATGTCCTGGCGCTGAATTGTCGAAGGCCCTCCAGGCCTGTCGCACGTCACAACCGCCCATCTGATATGGGGCCCCATCATCCAGAAACCGCGGCAGCAAAGGTCCCACGCCACAGCCGACCAGATCATGCGCGCCACTGGGTTGCGGGGGTGCCGTCCACGGCGGCGCCTCCACCCCTTGAGGCAACGCCGGGCCCGGGGGGGGCGGGGGCCGCCCCGCTTCCCGTACTGCGGCTGGAAATGCAGCGGCGCCGACAGTAGGGCGTCCCCTCTGTTGGAGTGATGTCCAGTCTCGTAGAGCTCGTTCGTGTATAGCACGAGTGCAGCGCCCACCTCGCTGTCCACCGCGAGCGGGCGCTCTCCTGCGGCCTTCGCGAAGGCCTGCAGCTCCACCTGGTGCTTGGTCTCCGCCCCTTGCCTCGCCGCTGATCGCCCTAGGAGCGAGGGCCCCGCAAGCGTGGGCGATGCCCGCGCTCTGGCCACCGCGGCGGCCCGGTGCTTCGCCGTCTGGCGCAGCTGGCGATGTCCGCCTGCCCTCGATCTCCTCGTCGGGGTCCGCGGTGGCGTCGCTCTCCCCCTCGCTGTCTCCAGTCTGGGCCCCCGCTGCCCCCGGGCTGTCGAGGGCGCCCCTCGCCTTTGGCGCGGGCTGCTGCAGCCAGACGGGCGCCCTCGCAGCGGGTGGGTCGAGCGAGAGCTGCCGCCGGGCTGGCAGCGCTGTCTCCCCTCGGCTCTCGGTCTGGGCCTGCGACGCGAGCGACAGCGCCCGCAAGCGCTTCGCAGGCCGCTCGGACGCGCCCGGCGCGGGCACGCTGCCTCCGCCCCCGCCTGTCGCCAGCAGCCGGCGGCCCCGCGGGGGGCTCATCGCGCGGGCCCGCTGCAGGGCGGTCGGGGTGCCCGGCAGGGGCGCCCCTGGGAGCAGAGGTGCTAGCAGGGTCGGAGGGGGGCCTGAAGGGGTTCAGCGTCTCCGATAACCTCGGGGCTCTCGCGGGTCTCGTCGGGGTCCAGGTCCGAGGGCCTCGAAGTCTTAGTGGGGGAAGCTCTGCTGCTTGCTGCTGTAGTAGATGGGATTGCCCTGGCCCTATTGTCCTATTGTCCCTGCGTGCCGTAGCGCGGCTGTTGTCCTGCTGGTTGCTGTGCGTGCTGATTTCATTCGTCCTCTCTACGGTCTTGCTCTTGCTTTTGCTCTGCTCGATTACGGTCTGCTTGCGATAGTTGTTGCCATTGAGCTCTGCGTTGTCCTGGTGAGTTGTTCCCAGCGGAGGCAGCCTATGGTTCACGGCCTTGTCGTTGTGGGCCCCCCAGCACTCCCGATGCTGCCTAGAGCCCGCGTCGCTCGGGTTGAGCTCGCTCGGAGCCAATCTTACGTGACGGCGCTTGTTCAGGGCGAGGCAGAGGGCGACGGCCCGACGTCTGCAAGAAAAGACAGCGCAGTTTTTGGCGTTTCTCCTCTCGGAACATAATACTGCGGGCAAGTCATCGCTCATCGCCGCGACGCGTTCGCCCCCCCGCGGCGAGAGACTGCACTGAATCTCGACGGCGCGCAGGAAAGCCCGCGACTCATGAACGAGATGATCGCCTGTCGTGTGGCGCCACCCGCGGGCGACCAACTCCGCCCAGCGGGATCCCGAGAAGATCTCCGCCGCCATCTCCTTGATTGTCTCACCCGCCCCCCGCTCGACCTGGGGCGCGATCTCAGCTGCGTCCTCGAGCTCGCCAACTGGCTTGAGGTTCCCTCCGCTCGTCATCGCGATGCCATTCGTCGCGAAGAAGTGTGCTCGAGCTGAGTGGCCACCCGAGCGGCGAAACCTCGACCGCTCCTGCGCGCGGCCAATCTCCTTCGCGGTCTCCTGCTCGAAGAGTGAGGCGCTCACCGCGCAGCCGTGCTCCGACGCGTCTGATGGGCGCGCTGGCGGGCTCCGCGGCAGCGCCCGGTCGCCTCGCAGCAGCGGCATCAGGACTCTGAAGGCCGCCAGCAGAGACGCGCGCGTACTTCTGATACTCATTCACAGTGCAATTCACCCACAATTAGATTCGCTCCCAGACCGTCAATATTTAAGCATCTGAATATTCGAAAGCTTTGGCGCCTAGACGCTCATGGCGGACAGGTCCATCGATATATGCACGCACCGATGCGACCACCCTGCGGGTGATGAGGAGGTTGGGGGGGCAGCATTGGGCAAAAATGATGATTGTTGTTCTGGCGATGCCTGTGTGGCAGAGTCTAGTGAGTTGTGTGATTGTGCACGTGAGCGTGATGTGATGTGGCGATGCTGGCGCAGTGCGCTCGACATTGTCGTGAAACGCTGTCCCCGCGTGCGCTTATCAATCGCACGAACCTCACCTCAGCGCGCGACGCGCGCCAACGCATCGCGCGAACCTCACCTCAGGTGGTGCATTTCAACACATCAAACGGCGATGTTTTGAAATGCGCAACCCACGGCGGGACACCGGCGGGACACCAGCGGGACACCGCGGGCCACCGTTTGACGGGAGGAGCATCATTTGGTCCGGCCGCGGTCCAGCCCCAGGAGGATTTCGGGACACCAGCAGGACGCCGGCGGGATACCGCGCGCCACTGGCCGCCGGAGGAGCATCATTTGGTCCGGCCGCGGCCCAGCCACAAAATAATTTCGGGACACCAGTGGGGCGCCAGCGGGACACCGCGGGCCACCGGCCGCCGGAAGAGAAATATTCGGTCCGGCCGCGGCCCAGCCACAGGAGGATTTCGGAACGCCAGCGGGACACCGGCGAGACACCGTGGGCCACCGGCCGCCGGAGGAGAAACATTTGGTCCGGCCGCGGCCCAGCCACAGGAGGATGTCTTCTCGCCCGCCCACGCAGCTTCGCCTCGCCCGCACGAACGCACGGCACGCTCGACACGAACCCGAACAGAAATCGATTTCCCGGTAGGGGGGTCTCCGTTTCACGTCGGACTTACCCCCCAACCTCTGATGATGAGCTCCACGCGCTGAATAATTACTGACAGGGTTGGGCAGATCACGGGGTTATCTCGACAATCTCTTGCGCCCCACGTTTTGAAAGAGCCTGAGGTTGCCTGGGACCCCGGCCCATCAGAAATAGAGTGGCCACTTGAAAGCTGGTCGTTTTCGGGCGTCTTCTGCACTCGACTCCCCAGGCGCATTTTGCGCCGACAAGTCTTCGTTGCCAACTTGCTTTGTGGGCAGCGCAGGCCAAGGGACGTCCAGGCGGCCATTGAATTGGCCATTACTACATACACCCCTTCCTCTGAGTTAGTTGTACTTTCAGTCGACGCCGAGCTCGGCGACCTCCGAAAAACCAGTAGTGTTTCGTGTTTTTGCCGATCATATTCGAGCTGGCAGGATCGTTGCATTAGGAGGGGGGGGGGCCCATGTGTGGAGAGAGGGGGGCCCCCTCCCTTGAAGAGTTGGCAAGCCCCTTGGGGAGTTACAGGCTTGTCTCCTCGGCAGCAGATTCAAGTTGCCGTGTCTAATGATTTGTTGCAGGCCATAGTTGAACTCATGCTTGTTATGACCGTCTCCCAGGGCTGTGCTTGGATGGAACATCCCTCCCCCCCGTCTTGGGAGCCACGTGCAGTGCCCTCATGGAGTTTCATGGCCCTGAAAGGGTTGATGGCTGCTCCCTGCTCTACCTGCACTACGTTCGATCAGTACGAATTCGGCCAAATTGGCCGTGCTCCTACAGCCCTCCTTGGGATTCGCCTCCCTGACCTCCCCACCCTCTTGCACGACACCCCAGGAGGTGTTTTTTGTTCCCACGGGGCTTGGGCCCAGGCCTGGTGGGCTGGGATGGTGTGCTCAAGAGATGGCGCACGTCGCCCAAAAAGATTTACCCTCCTGTGCTGTGTCAGGTGCTGGCCACTGCAATGGTAAAGGCACTCCTCCCATCGCTGCTTGGGCAATCCTCGGTGCCAGGTGGCTCTGAGGATGAGAAGGGGGCTAAAGATTTGTGGCGTTTTGTCGCGGACTCAGCAAATATTGCCTTGGATGCGCCCATGATGGGGCCAGATTTCGTGCAGACGTTGGAGCCCCCTCGGCCACCGTCGGCTTTTGCTAGGATTTCAGCGCTGCTCCAGCCCGAGGGAGTAGCGGGTGCACCCAGGGAGGAGGAGGAGGAGGAGGAGGAGGAGGAGGAGGAGGAGGAGGAGGAGGAGGAGGAGGAGGAGGAGGAGGAGGAGGAGGAGGAGGAGGTAGGAGGAGGAGGAGGAGGAGGAGGAGGAACAGGAGGAGGAGGAGGAGGAGGAGCCCGAAGGCACCCACTCGGTTTCGATGGCGGCTGCCGAGATGGACGAACATACATTCCACCTCGTGTGGGGTTTGCCCGCCCTCCTCCCCCGCCCCCCCTCCGCCTCCGCCTCCTTCCCTCCCCCCTGACATGCTTGCTCGGATTGCAGCTCACCGTGCCGAGGCCCTCCGCAGAAAGCGCGAACGTTCGGCTCATCGCAGGCGCGTGCTGGTGCAACTGGCTGTCCTTTTTGGTTCACCTTCCTCACCTCCGCCACAGACAGAGTTAGTGCAGGTTGACCTGCACCGTTGATTTGCGCTCGCCGTCCCCAATTCCTGATGGGGACCAGGTTGGGGGTGCTTTCAGGTTACCAACTCAGCAGCACCAGCAGCAGCTGCAGCAGCAGCAGCAGCAGCAGCAGCAACAGCAGCAGCAGCAACAGCAGCAGCAGCAGCAGCAGCAGCAGCAGCAGCAATACCCCCCCCATCGGAGGCGACGGCGGCGTTGGCGGCGGCCCCTCGGCGCGCCCGCCGCAGACGCGCCCGCCGCAGATGCGTCGGCATCGTCCCCTTCAGTCCTGCTACGGCAGCAAGGCCGAGGATGAGGAGGGGGGGACGTAGGAGGTGGAGGATGTGGTTTCTCTCAGCCCTGTTCGCTTGTGATGGCTCCTGCCACCTTGTACGGCCATTGGTGGCCATTGACCCCTTCCCTGGCGCTTAACCTTTCTGGACTCATGGACCAACTCATGGGCCAACTTATGGCCAACAGGGATGGGGCTTGAGTGCTTCAACCCCCCTGACCTGACCAGACCTCCTCTCCTTCTCTTTTCCCCTCCTGTTCCCTTCTCATCCCTTGTCCTTCTTCCCTCTTCCTCCTCGTCCTCCTCTTTCCTCTTCCAGCTTCCCCTCCGCCCCCTCCCTCCTTTTCCTCCTCTGCCTCCTACTCCTCTTGGTCCTCATCAACCTCTTCCTCTCCCCTTATCCTTTGCCTCCTCCCCATCGTCGTCGTCGTCGTCGTCGTCCTCCTCCTCTTCCTCCTTCGCATCCTTGCTCCTTCCTCATCCATCCATACTCCTCCTTCGTCCGCCTCGAAATCTTCTATGCGCGGGCAGGTCTGTGCGCGCAATGGAGCTGCCGGATGCCCCCCGCGCCTGGCCACGCGCGCTTCGCGAGAGGGAGCAACACCACTCTCTGGCGAGCTCAGACCTGGCGAGCAGCGAGGACCGCGGAGAGAGTGGAGCCTCGACGCGGCGGGGACGGCGGAGGCACCGCCGAGAAATGGCGGCTCTGAGGCGGCGTGCCGGCAGGAGCGGGCGGGGGGGGCGCCGGAGCGAGCGTGGGGGCGCGCCGGTGCGGTGCTGGCGCCGAGCGGGAGGCCCCGCGTGCCCCCCCGCAGGGCGCGAGCCCGTGGAGGCGGCGAATGTTGGAGGAAGAAAAACGCTGCTTTGGGTGGTAGACTCCTCCTCCTCCTGCCCTCCTCCTCCTCCTCCTCCTCCTCCTCCTCCTCCTCCCCCTCCTCGTTGCACGTTGCACTGTTGTTTCCCGAGTCCACTCTAGGAGCAGAGAAGGGCAGGAAATATGGGAGACGGGCGATGGGCGATTCGCGAGTGCCGAGTCGGCACGTCATCGCCAGCGTCGTCGCCGTCGCGGTCGTCCCTTCGCTCCCCCATCCGTGCCCCTCCCTTCCCACCCCTGATGGCAGGGCCCAGGCCTCGCCTGTCCGTCCTCTGCTGGCCGCGGGAGGGGAGGAATTCAGAGGCCCTAAGTAGATGGGCTCCGACAGTGTACGCACGCCACTCCGCGCGCACCGCGCAGCGCGCACCCTAATGCTCGAAGGCCTTGCAGCTTCGCTGTTTAGGGGTGTGTGGGGGGTGCTGGCCCGTGGCAGGCGCGTGCTCTGCGCGCCGAGGCGGTGCGCGGAAAGGTTGCGCGAGCGAGGCCGTCTTCACCTCCCTCTGGCGCACGAAACCTTCCTGGTTTTGAACCCTCCCATTCCTCCCATTACCCCTTTGAACCTCCCAAGCTCATACTGTTCAAGACTGCGCAAAGCACGGGGTGGGCCAACTCTTGTGCAACCTTTTATTCACCTGCATCTTGGAACCACAAGACCCGCAGTACCTGATGCAAGTTGGTGGCCTGGGCATCGCGAGGGTCTTGGGGTTGGGTCGGAGCAAGGAGATGGCCTCCAGCCTGTCTGGCTCGAAGGGCTTCTCCTTGTGGCTGGCCAGGCGGCTGCCTGGCTCAAGGAGCTCCTCCTCGTGGCTGGCCAGGCCCGTGCCTGGCTCGAGGGGCTCCTCCTTGTGGCTGGCCAAACCGCTGCCCGGCTCGAGGGGCTCCCCTTTGTGGCTGGCCGGGCCGCTGCCTGGTTCAAGGAGCTCCTCCTCGTGGCTGGCCTGGCCCTTGCATGGCTCGAGGGGATCCTCCTCGTGGCTGGCCAGGCCCGTGCCTGGCTAGAGGAAATCCTCGTTGTGGCTGGCCAGGCCGCTGCCTGGCTCGAGGGGCTCCTCCTTGTGGCCAGTATGGCCGCTGCCTGGCTCGAGAGGCCCCCCTTGGTGGCTGGCCAGGCCGCTGCCCGGCGTGGGGCCCCCCCATGTGGCTGGCCAGGCCCGTGCCTGGCTCGAGGGGCTTCTCCTGGCGGCTTGCCAAATCCGTGCCTGGCTCGAGGGGCTCCTCCTTGTGGCAAGCAAGGCCGCTGTCTGGCTCAGGCTCCCCTTGGTGGCTGGTCAGGCCGTTGCCTATCGCTCCAGCTAGTCCACGATGTTGTTCATCTCCAGCTGGCTGTGGCTGGCGGAGCACGTCAGCGCGGATGGTGAAAATAATGTCTTTGACATATACGAGCTGCTCTTCCAAGGCCTGCAGCTGTGCGTCGCGCCCGCCCTCATAACAACGCACGTAGTCCGTCTGAATGCACTGCTCGCTCAGCTGTTCGCCGATATAGATGTACACAGCTTCGATGTGTCAATATTCTCCTGGAGCTTCCATTCCTCTGCGCTTTCGGATGCCGAGACATCTTCAGAACTCGGCAGCTCCAGCGCGCGACCGACCTTCTGCAACAGCTTGTTATCGGGATGTCCACAAGCCCGTCTCTCCGAACGGTATTAGCATCACTGCTTGGCTACCTCAGGTTGCCCTGCAGCAACCAACCTGCGTCGACTGTCTTCTCCCGTAGCCTTCTTGGGCCCGTCGCCGTGCGCCTCCAGCAAGCTCTTGTAGCTACCGAGAACATTGCATGCATCGCATTCCCTCGGCCCAGCGGTTCCAGCGTGCAGGCTGATGATTGCGCCTGCTGCGGCAGAAACCGCCTCTCTGAGCAACCACTCTCTGAGCTGCCTCCTGCCAGCAAGACCGTTGACGGCTGCGAGCAGCTTCCCGAAGTGCTCCTCTAACCCTGCCGACACAGCAAACTAGGCTTTGAAACTCAAGTATGGAAAGCAGTTCTACACCGAGGAATCCGTCTGGGTGGCTTGGGGCCCATAGGCCAACAAAACAACCCTGAGCCCAAATGGCTTGAGCCAAAAAGGCTACGAACTCCTCCCCCTCCTCCTCCTCCTCCTCCTCCTCCTCCTCCTCCTCCTCCTCCTCCCGGCGCCTCTGGCGCTGCTGGAGGTCCTGGAAGAGCCCCGACCCGACGGCCGAGGGGAGGGCGAGTCTTTGCCCAGGTCGGCACTGGTGGGCCGTCCAATGCGCCCCCGACCCGAAGGCCGAGGGGAGGACGAGTCCTGGCCCAGGTCGGCGCTGGTGGGCCGTCCACTGCGCAAGGGCAGGCAGGGGCCAGTGCTGGGCCGCGCACTGGTGGGCCGAGGGCCCACCGCTGCGCGGGGCGCTCCGCGGCGCCTCCAGTGGCGGCGCCCTCTGCCCCCCCCCCCTCTCCTCCCCGCCGCTCCGCGCAGCCTCGCCGCCCGCCTCGGAAGGTAGGCGCTGAGAAACGCAGCCTCAGAGGGGTGAGCTCAGGGGGTCGGCGCCGCGAAGGGGGCTAGGGATGTGGGCGTCGCAGGTGGCCGGTGTGGAGGGGCGGGTGAGTGCTGGCGCAGAGGGAGTGGAGCGGGTGGTGCTTCGACGCCGTAGTGGGAGCAAGGCCAGCGTTGCAGTCGCCGCTGTGGTGTACGCTTTGCTGCGTGCGCAGCGAGCGCGTCGACTGCCCCGACTGCCTGGTGGCGAGAGTGACAGAGAAGTCGTCGCTTGAGAGCAGCACTGGTCGGGCAGTGGGACAAGAGCTGCTGTCTGGAGTGGCAATGCAGCCGAACCTTGCGGGTGGATGTTTAGCCTAGCGAGTGGAGGTCGGTGCGTCTGCCTGTGGACGCGGTGGGGCAAGGGACTCCGTACAGTGGGTGGAATGGTGTGCAGGGCGTGGGCCCTTGGAACGGGCCCAGCAGCCGTCGCAAAGGGGGAGTGCGCCTGTACTTGTCCGAGGTCCTCTGGGGAGGTGGTGGCCAGCAGCAGGGCTCCCTGCAGGCGATCTACGCTTCCGCCCTCGGTTGCCCGCAGAAATTGCGGCAGGTGCCAGTCGCTGCGGAGGTCGCCCCAGGGGCGAAAAGTCGTGGTTGGGCTGGCCACCGTAGTCATGCTGGCCGATGGTGCGGCTGGTTGCTGCGCGTGGGCGGGTCTCTGGCGTGCCCCAGTTGGTAGCACGTGCGCCGAGTGTCGTGGTCTCTGCTCTCGGCGGAGCGTTGGTTCTCCCCGCTTGGAGCAGGCAAGCGGCAATGGCGTGGTGAGGGTGCAATTCCCGCTGGATGGCTCTT